TAATATTTGGTATGAAAAAATAGGAATATTTCATTGCCCAACTCTTTAGTTTAGATTAGGCTAATGATGTTCATGATGAGTATCACTTAAGAATGATGAAAATTTTCAAATAATCAAATAGCTACATTAGAGTTTACTTTCAATATAAAAACTCCAACAACTTATTTATAGTTAATTAATGCTTACATTCCTAGAGATATTTTCTCTGCGAGAATGACGGAGCCCATAATAGTAGTAATGATCATGACCAGAGGGCTAAAAGCACTCGCAAAAACTGGACCCCGCTCCCTCAGCACTACCCCTTGCACATAGTAGGCAACTCCAGTGCATAGCACCCCCTGCAAAATTATAAGCATTAGAGCCTCTCTCTTAATACCATAATACCTTCACAGGCTTATTCAAGTTCAACACTAACATCTAAATTTTTATTTATTTATTTTTACAATTATGCCACCCAAATCTTTTGTATCATATAAAAATACCCCTATTGTAACATTTTAAAAGTGACAGATATTTTCACATATAGGCAAAGCGACATATCATTAAAAATTGAAGTTTTGGTGTGAGCCATGTAAATACATAAGAATTGAAAGGTAGGTACCTAAATCTCTTAGTTAATTCTCTTCTGACTCATTGTAGGGGTCATTTTAATCTCAGAGTTTACAAAAATATCAATTTAGTTCTTAGACTTTTTTAATGAAACTCTTTTAGTTCATATTAAATGTGTATGGGGATTAATTTGACACTTATATAGATTAAAGGTGTAAAATTGTCACATATAAATAATGAAAAATCTATTTTTGACACTTCGCTCCTTTCCTCTATCCACACATCTCTCACAAATGAAAAAGTAGATTTGCTTACAGAGTAGATCGGAGCAAGCAGCCGCTTATCCATCCCTATAATCCATGGCCTGCTACTTCCACGATTTACCACTAACGCAACCACAGAACTCATCACCGCACCCATAACACTCACCCAAGCAGTAAGAGTAATCTCTGCTGGGTATGTTTCTAATGTGTTCGCCTGCGTTAACAGTGCATATTGTAGTTAATCACATGCAATTAATAAATAATTAACCTAACAAATTGGGATTAAAAAGGGTAGTTTGGATTACTTGTAGGATTAGAAAGCCTGCCCAGCAGGTGCAGCTTCCTATAAGCATAAATGTGCCTTTCATCCATCCGAAGCTATCTCCACCATGGCCGATGGAACTAGCAAAGCTGCTTTGTTTCTCTCGAGTTTTGGAGTAGAAGACTAAATCGAAAATGGGTCCTTTGTATAGAATCGTCAGAACTGCGCCAGCCACGATCAGAAGGGCTCCGATTGCCTTTGCCTGGCCTCTTCTGCGCCTTATGTTGAACTTCTCCGCTCTAATTTTTTATGCACAAAACTTAATTAGAAACCAAGCCAAGGTGTGGGATGGAATAGGATCTAAGACAGGATTTTAGCTAAATCCAGCCAAATATTAAAAAAAACACAAAAAAATAGAAAAACAAAAAAAAA